ATATGTGCAGTCAAGCATACACCTTGATAAAAAGTTACTGCTAATCACAAAGAACAAATATCTTAAGTTAATGATTTTAGTGCTTTTCTATCAATGGGAGGAAGCAAGAATCGGGGCTCATTAAAATTCTCCCTGACCTCTACATCTAACTGTCTAAGGGGCCTGTTTGTCCAAAGCACAGAGTGCCACATCCTGTTTTTCATCCCAAATTCCCCTGAAGGTGCCCTGTTGGTGACAGCAGTGGCTAAGGACCTAGGGCTGGGGGCTGAGCCAGGCTCTTTGTTCTTTGTTCTCAGTTCTAATGCTGGCAGTTTTCATCTGGAATTCTAAAAGTGTTTCAACTACATCCTATCATTGTATCCATCTCCTTTATTACTATTTTCATTTAGCAAACATTTGATAGAAGCCTGCTTTTAGCCAGACTTGCTATTAGTCCTTCCTGTGCTCTGTGCTCAGGTCATAATCTGGCACTTGGCATGGAGTGAACCATGCATGTGAACTGTGATGTTTCCAAACTCTGTGGTATTGGACGCGATTTCTAAGCTAGAGGATGTTCCATGGCTATCATGCTAGAGGCAGACATCCATTCTCTGTTCCCCAAATACCGATCCATATTTCTATTATGACAGCCATTGCCATCCATTAGAGTGTTCCTTTTACTTGTCTTTTTCCCTCTAGACTGACCACTTTTTCAGGTACAGAGTCCAGGGTAGTGAAACATATACGTATACTGAATAGCTTTCAGTTTTCTTTTATTAATGAATGAATGTGTTAAAAATGTTTCTAAGTTTAACATCCTTTGATTAGCATCGTTTTTGAATTCATTAGTATGAACAGCTTTTTTTTTTTGCGATACGCGGGCCTCTCACTGTTGTGGCCTCTCCCGTTGCGGAGCACAGGCTCCGGACGCGCAGGCTCAGCGGCCGTGGCTCACGGGCCACTCTGCGGCATGGGGGATCTTCCCGGACCGGGGCACGAACCCGTGTCCCCTGCATTGGCAGGCGGACTCTCAACCACTGCGCCACCAGGGAAGCCCTGAACAGCTTTTTAATGTACAAGTCACCCTGAATATAACAGGGATAGTTTAATTAAAAACTAATTCATATCCATACCTGAAAAAAAAGATAGTTTCTAGATTAAAATTTTATCATATTTTAGTTCTTGAAAATTTTTAAAATTTGTTTTCATCTCATCCCTCTACTCTCACACAAAGATTTTTTTAAGCTCGCCCCCAATAAACTGCTTCTGTTGTCATTGCTTACTCTCTCTACCAGCTCCTCCCACTCTACTTTTTTTTTTTTCTGAAGTAAGATTTATAATCTATCTGAGGTGAGAAATTTTTTAATTTAATATTTAAAACATCAGACTTGTAAGTTATGATAATAAAGAGATATTTTTTAAAAAGCATCACTACAAATCCAATATAAATACTACAAGAATTTAAATGAACTGAATGCTAAAAATTAAAAATGTTCAACTTCTCTAAGGGACGGCAGGAATTCTGCTATTAATACATATTAGCTGAAATGTATGTCAATATCTACTTATAAGATACGATGTTAGAAACATTTTTAGTAAATCATAAAACTGAAGTTGTGTTAAGTTTTAAATAAAAATCAGTATATAGTGTTTTACATTAATTTCGCTAAGCAAAATACTTGTCTGTTCATTTGCTTAAAATAGCAAATCCTGTAAACCATTAGATTATTTTATCAGTTTCTGCATCCGATGTTTTGTTTAATGCAGAGTTTGGAAGACTAGAAATACTCCACTAAGCAAGCAAATTGTAATTACTTCTTCATAATTACCATGCAACTTTATTGCCATGCATTGTTATAATTATATTTTAAATATTCCCCATTTACATGAGAGACCATAATGTCTTCTAGCACATTACAAACTGTGGCTTATAACTGCATCTCACTTCCACAAAGGCCTTTTCTTCATTTAGCCTCTATTTCAACTACTGTTAAAAGAGACTAAACAAAATCAATTGGCATCATAATACTGCAATAAGGAAATTGTAGACAATATAATATTTCTGTGCTACTGAAATCGTCTCATTATTCAGAGGATTCATGTTTAACATCTAAGGTGTATTCCTCCTTCCTTAAGGATTCAGTCATAATTACATCAGTGCTTCTCAAACTTCAGTGCGTACAGGAATCGCCTTGGGATCTGCTGCAAATACAGATTTTAATTCAGTATATCTGGGAAAGGGCCCTCGACTCTGCATTTCTAACAGGCTCCCATGTGCTGATACCACTGCTGCTGGTCCTTGGGCCACACTGAATAGCAACACTGTCAAGTATTATGTATATCTATGTGCAAAATGCTGTTAACAATTTTCACACACACACACAAACTTCACCCAGAGCTCTGCTATAATCACTTTCCACCTTCAAGCCTGGAAATTACTTATTATTGTTAGAAGACTTAACAGAAACTGTTACCAAAATCAACTTCCGCTGTTCACCACTCAAAAGCCAATACTCAAGAGACAAATGTTGGTTGAAAAGATTGCTTTATTCGGGAGACCAGTAACCTGGGGAGAAGGTGGACTCGTGTCCAAGAACCAACTCCCAAGTTTCTGCTCAACCATGAAAGTTTTTAAAGGAAGAATCATTTGGGGAGGGGGTCAGAGTCTTTGTTATCTTCCGCTGTGTATAGACCTTCTTCTGATTGGTTGGTGGTGAGGTAGCAGGGTGGTATCCAGGAATTTTGTGCTTGGCCCGAAGTTATCATCCTGGGGCCTTAGTTCCTGCAGAAGGACTCAGAGCTATATTGTTCCGTATATTCCTTGAGGAGGAACCAGGACCCTGCCCCAGGGCGGCTGCACTAGTGGTTCTTGCCTGCTCCTCCTTTGTTTCTGCATTCTCTCCTCTCCCTGATTAGCAACTCTTTGAATCTACCCTTTGGAACTCAGGGAAGGTCAAGGAGGCTGAATGAAGCCTATTTCCTACAAAGAAGAAATGTGGGACGCGGAAAGGATTTGTACCCAGGAGGGCCCCACAGGGTCCTTCTTGGTTTCAAAACATCATTGAACCTGTGAAAAAAATCTGCCAAGTAAGCATTAGGGAATTTCACTCTGAAGTGACATGGGGTAGTAAGAGACAGATTCCAGAAGAATGTGACATTTGAGCTACATTCTGAAGCTTGATTAGTAGTTTGCCAGATGGAGGGTATGGGTCCAGGGGGCGGGGTAGGAGGGAGATGCAAAAGGAAATTTCAGGCAGGAGGAAAGGCATTTAGAGGTGAGGGGACTGTAGACCACTGGGGGAGAGGAGGAAACTGATGAAAGGTAAGATTAAGGGCACAAATTCTTATCTTCTAATTGAGGAGTTGAGATTTTAGCCTGAAGGTGTTTAGAAATTACATGAGGACTAGAAGATTATATAAATCGAACTAATTTACTAATGCTTTCTCTTCCACTCTGAATAAAATAGTCCCTTGGGAAACTAACAATCAGAATGACACGCCTGCAATTCAAGGGTAATATTACGGATATTCCATCTTATTCTAATGACACTTTTGAACATTTGTTTCTGGGGCTTTATTTTTTTAATTCATTTAGCGAAACATTGTGGCCCTATCTTCTTTACCATCATAATCATCTTCAAATTAAGAAAGTAACAGGAGATGTTTCAACTTAGCAATGCCAATAAATACAAATAGGTCATTGTCAACATCCATAGCCTGACAGTTTATGAAGATCCTTGAATATCATCAGGGCGGCTAATATTTGAAGCCTCTAAGACACTGTACAACACAATTGGCAAAGATATCTCAGTTGAAAGATAAGAAAGTCTCACCCCATGACTTTTTAAATGTCCCCTAGTGTTAAAAATAATTTTTTGAAAGTTCTCTTTTCAGTAATGGTAAACTTCAAGATAGGTTTAAAATCCAGAATCTCCTAGTCTATCTATATTTGATCCTTGGCAAGCTAGACTATTGTTATCTGGTAATATTTGTTTCAAGGATGCTTCTGCACAATTTTTTATGCTAGTGGGTAAAAGAAATCTTAAGGTTAATCGTTCATTCAGTCTTTTCTTTTCCTGCCAGTACTGTTCCCCAATTCTATAGCTTCCAAGGTTTCACCAAAAAAAGACTTTTAAATGTATATATACACACATAAACATATGTATAGTAGGAGAGGAAAAATAATTTTCTCTCTACTCTTCTAGGTCTTGACTGAGACACCCCCTGTAATAAATGACAGATTAACAAGAGAAAAGCAAGCAGGAGTTTAATAACATGTATACTTCCTATATACATGGCAGGCACTCAGAAAAACTGAGCCCCTCAGTCAGCAGTCATTCATGGCAAAAGACAAGGATACAGGGAAGGGTAAAGAATTAGGACCACATGTGGGAGATCATGAATTGGGCAGCATCCCAGCCAGCAGAGAGAATGGAGCTCCCAGGAGCTGTATAAAATAAAAGACTTTTATAGGCAGAAAAGAGTGGGACAAGAAAGGCATACTAGCAAAAAGTGGATTGGTTGTGACAAGGTCCCTTTCCTTTAGGGGATGCAGAGGTCTCTCAGGCAGGTTACCTCTCTAGTGCTGACCAAGGGATTCCTGATGGACTGGTTTCAGATTCCATTTCTCAGAGAGGCTGAAACTATAAGTCTCTGTTTGGTGACATGGGGCTTAGCATAAGTGACTTCATTTAGGGCTTGTTGTCTTGTTTTTAACACCAACATAATCGGAAGGGGTTGATTCTTGTCTCTTTACTTCTAAGGCAAGTTCATATTCTGCTTCAACTGATTATTTTTTCAACAATATTTGTTAATATTCTTTTATGGTCTGCCAGTACTTTTTTGAAGCCCAGTTAGTTAGAACAGCCGCCAACAGAGTTGAAACTACAAGGGGGCCAAATGTCTCTCCAGAAGCAAGAGGACTTCAAAAGATATGCATTACAAAGCACTACTGTGACTCACATAATCACTTATTTTTAAAGGGGATTTGCTAATGTAAAATTGGTTTCTTATCTTCCCAGCCCCTAGTGAGCCTTTACTGTGCAAATTCGCTGATGGAGGACAAAAGAAGCGACAGAATCAAAGTAAATACACCCAGAATGGAAGGCCTTGGCCCAGGGAAGGAGAGGTGAGTCCTGACTGACCTGTGCTCAGAAATGTGGCCGCAGACATCCCTCAGGAGGGTGGCAAGACAGACACACGGGGCTGTGAGAGAACCAGGTCCTGTAGAAAACCAGATGGCAAATGGGCAGGCCTATATTGATTTAATCAGAATAAAATTAGTTCAGGAGGAGTATAGGACTTCCAAATTGACCTCAGTTCTGCACTACAGTAAGTCTTCTGTCTTTAACCAAACTTAAACCCTATAATACTCACTGAAAGACTTAGCCACAAAGAATTGATCCATAATTGTGTCATAGTTATAAAATGAGGGTATGTTTACTTAAGAAAATATCTTCAGTGAAAACAATAGTGAGAGATAAATGTTTGTGTTTGAAAAAAACAAACAAAAATTTAGATTTATTTCATTCTACTGTTGAGATGTTCCACTTGCACATATATGTGTAGTTATGAAATGCCCATGTGCTCATAAACATGTCGATATGTGTCTTATATATGTATACATCAATATAAAATATGACATTTTCTGTTGGTCAAGGAGAAAGAAAAGCAGACACACACAAGGTTTTGCTTTTCCCAACAAGGAGAAAAGCATTTAACAGTTAATTATCCCTTTACTCTCCTAACACAAAACAGTAGAAAAGCAAGCTTATGGCTCCAGTGCCACTTGGGAATGGATTCCTGTTGGTTATTTTTGTTGTGAAAAGACAAGGAAAAGGTGTCTGGGCTTCCAAGAGGTCTTTTTATTCTTTGTGAAATAGAATGGAGTTGTTTGAATGCCTTGAATAAATGCCATTTTGTACCAAGGCCATCATTTCAACAGAAGAGCTTTATGTAGTATTTCTATTCAAAGCATCTACTCCATCCATTTATCATTTAAGAGGCATCCTACTTGATGCAGCATTTTATACTTTCAACACTGAGATTACAGTTGTAGGG